GTGGGGGCTGGAGGTCATCAGCCAAGCGGCCCGCCCTGTTCCCCGAGGACCTTCCCCAAGCCCGGGGTCCTTTGTCATCCTGCTCCGCCTCCCGGCCTTGGGGAAACTCCCCGGCTGCGGCAAACGTTCACCCCCGCCCCCCATTCCGGGACTCGGATTTGCACCCCGCGGGCAGCCCAGGCAGCGCCTCTGTTTGCATCTCCTAAATCACACCCACCCCCCTTCAGCCTGCCTTGCTTGGTCTCAAAAAGAGGTACGGAGGGTTGGATCTGGCTGGCCCTTGGACAGAACGCCACCCAGAGATCTTGGGACCAGATGCTAAACAAAAGAGCAACTTGCTTCCCTCCTGTCCTCGATGAGGAGGCATCCGTGCAGTCGCTGGACTTCACCTTTCCAGGTGTGGCCAAGGAAATGGTTCGTGGTGTAGAGGCTAATATGGTCCAGTTTATGGATGGGAGGTTGGGCTTGGGAAGGGGGGAGCTCTCACTGCCCACAGGCAGGTCCTGCGCATCCGGCTTTGAAGAGACGCCGGGTCAAGGCCGGGTCCGAACCTCTTTTTAAACCGAAATGTTCAAATGCTCATCAAATTTGGTTCACCCATACTGCTAACCCATCCCGGGCAGATTCGCACAGTGGGTGAAACCAGCAATACAAGCTCTCCTGTGTAAATCGCAGCTGGTGAGTTTGTCAGCTGGGAACATTAAACCAGGGGTGCCAACTTTCTTCGGGTCTCGGCTCCTTGGCATTTAATGGCTCTGCTTTCTGGGGATGACAGCTTAGCTCTAGACTGGGAATCGTTTAGAGTTTCACCAGCTAAAAGCTGGAGAGAAAACTGTTTTGTTTCCTTCATTGTCAGCATTCATGATGGCTGCGTTCGCTTAATACTCTGGGCCGGCGTTTTTCAAACTTGGCAGCCTTAAGATGTGTGGACTTCAACTCCCAGAATCCCCCAGCCAGCATGACCATTAAGCCCAATGCCTAAAATAATGAATGCTTTGTCCAAATCTGCTTTGGGCTCCCTCCCTATTTCTTCCCTTGCTGAAAAGTCTTCTGCTTTTTTGACCTTGGTTCTCCCCGGGAAGCTTGAGAATTCCTCTTCAATTTCTCTGGGTGGCTTTCTGGCTGGAGGCGGGAGAGGTTGCGTTCCTGCTAATGCAGGTTTCTTGCTCCACCTTTTTCTCTAGCCCAGAAGCTTTCCCACCACCCCCCCTGTATTTCCTCATCTGCAAAAGCAGACAGACCCTGACTCTCTAGAGCAGGGTTTCTCAACCTTGGCGACTTGAAGATGGGTGGACTTCAACTCCCAGAATTCCCCAGCCAGCATTGAAGTCCACCCATCTTCAAGTCGCCAAGGTTGAGAAACCCTGCTCTAGAAGGAGAAAAATAAAGAACAGATCCAACAAGCCTGACACTCTGTGGAAGTGACTCCACGTGTCGTGAAATCCATCTGGGTCCAGCCGTATCTACAAGACCATCGCCCTTCCCCAGATTCGGCCTTGCTGGCTAAAAGGAATCAGGACCTTATTCTCCCCCATCCCTCCTGTTTATCCACCCTGCTGCGGCCATTCAGCCTGGACTCGTCTCGGCAATGTTTGGCTCCCCTTATCTCTGGCCCCAGCTGGAGAACGCTTTGTGAAAAGGGGAAAAGAGCTCGTTTGTCAGTTTGCAGACCTGCCTTCTTCGGCCCCTTGTTCTCTGCCTGCCGCCGTCGTTCCCCCCCCCGCCCCCCCCCTGCCCCGCTGGCGTGTCGCTCGCATAGCCAAAAACGCGTTCCCCGACGTGTCCCGTGGCCAAGCTGAGCAGGCCGGGGGGGT